ATGAGGTTTCGACAATTGTCTTTTTCTTTTACTGGTCCTCCCAAAAATTTTATATACGCATACATAATGTTTACATCCTTTAATGGCGTGATGGTGTTGTACTGCACATTACTCACAACAAACACGAGATACGAGGCGATAATACCATGTTTTCTATAAAAAAGTAAAGAGAAAAACGGCGTAATGGTGTCCTACCATTGGAATGTATACAGAAAACACACCAGTAATGGCGGGAGCATGGACTTTCGCATATAAAGTTCATAAGCACATGCATAAATAAATTAATTGTAAGAAAATTGACCATAAGTAAGTGCATAAAGAAATGGACCAATCTGCAATTTCCTTATGTAGTATATATATATACTTATACACCATGCAAGAGAATGTACTCTCCGCTTAAAAATATAAGGGATGCGTTTACGACGTAGTGAATGCGTGCCGTTGATAGCATTCTATTTCGATCGGTTGCACATCAAATATCAAACTAAGATGGTTTATATTTTAATACAATAAACAGTAAGTTACAGTCGTTTAACTCGGTATTTTTTGCAACCCACAGATAGACTTTATATTTTATGAAACATTTAAGAGCATCAAGAGATATAGGAAATGGTGCCAGAAATAGTTATTAAACAAAATTTTTTAAGGCAAGATACACGTCAACTTACATTTTCGGTACTTGGTGATGATGAACTTTTAAACCGTTCAATAGGATTATCGGCATCAGAATTAGTTTCAGGTGCAGACATCAACAAATGCGAGGGAACAGATTGCAATCTTTTCTTATCCATCAATTCTTTGATGTTTTCTTTGGAATCTACAAATGCAAAAACGTTTGTATGTGTGTGTGTGTGTGTGTGTGTGTGTGTTGTGTGCACACGCGCGATTACGCGTGCATGTGTATACGTGGGTACACATGCGCGCGCGCATATGCAAAAAAGCCTATATAACATACATACCTGATAATAGTAAGACACATCCGGGATAAAATTGTTTTTCATATTTGATTTGGTAACTCTCTTATGAGTTTCTTAATGAAAATGCTGAATACATGAGGTTTCGACAATTGTCTTTTTATCTTTTACTGGTCCTCCCAAAAATTTTATATACGTATACATAATGTTTACATCCTAATGGCGTGATGGTGTTGTACTGCACATTACTCACAACAAACACGAGATACGAGGCGATAATACCATGTTTTCTATAAAAAAGTAAAGAGAAAAACGGCGTAATGGTGTCCTACCATTGGAATGTATACAGAAAACACACCAGTAATGGCGGGAGCATGGACTTTCGCATATAAAGTTCATAAGCACATGCATAAATAAATTAATTGTAAGAAAATTGACCATAAGTAAGTGCATAAAGAAATGGACCAATCTGCAATTTCCTTATGTAGTATATATATATACTTATACACCATGCAAGAGAATGTACTCTCCGCTTAAAAA